CAGGACAGGATCATTCAAAACAAGCAATGGAACAAACCAAAAATGAGAACATATGCAAGTGGTCCTAGACAATCATGCCTCTGCTTAAGGGAGTGGTCTGGAATAACTATAATATTCCTGATGTTTAATGGGATTGCAGGGATGCTTATTCCCAGTGTACGTGGCGCATTCTGTGAGGCAGAAGTCAGGTAATGTTGATGTTGGATGCTCTGAACCACTGCAGTCCCTCTAGTTCTGTTGACAACAGTAGATTGGATTAATAGATTTTAAAGCCAGAAAGACTCCTGCATAAAACAGGCTATTGAACCTCACCCATCCCATGTGTCTGAGCTATAGCTTATCTTTCAGAAAGGCCTCCAGTCTTGATTTAAAGATTCTAATGCCCCCACCCTCAGTAAAGTTTCTTGTTTTTTCCTAAGCTTAATTACACTCACTGTTAAAAATATGCACCTTCTTTCTAGTCTGAATTTATCTAGCTTGGACATCCAGCCACTAGGCTTTATTATTCCTTTTTTTTCCTGCTAAATTAAAGAACAGTCTGCTATCAGAAATTACTTCCCTTTATAGTTTTTTGTGATTCTTATAGTTTAACCTTTTCTTGAATGAACTAAATTGAGTCCCTTGGTATAAGATGTGTTTTCTAGACCTCAAAGCATGTTTGTGGCTTTTTCTGAACCCTTGTTTATATGTCAATATCCTTTGGACACCAGAGCTGGATAAAGTATATATTAGTCATGGTCTCACTAATACCATTAAAAGAGGTAGCACCACCTTCCTAGTCCTTCTTGACATTCTTTTGTTTATACATCCAGGCTACGTCTAGACTACATCCCTTTTTCATAAAAGGGATGTAAATTAGACATATTGCAATTGCTAATGAAGCGGGGATTTAAATCTCCCCGGCTTCATTAGCATAAAAATGGCTGCGGCTTTTTTTCGGCACGGAGCTTTGCCGGAAAAAAGCGCCAGTCTAGATGCAGATCTTGCGGAAATTAAAGCCTTTTCCGAAAGATCCCTTATCCCTTATTTCATAGAGGGATAAGGGATCTTTCGGAAAAGGCTTTATTTTCCGCAAGATCCGCGTCTAGACTGGTGCTTTTTTCCGGCAAAGCTCCGTGCCGAAAAAAAGCGGCAGCCATGTTTATGCTAATGAAGTGGGGGAGATTTAAATCCCCGCTTCATTAGCAATTGCGATACGTCTAATTTACATCCCTTTTACAAAAAAGGGATGTAGTCTAGACATAGCCCCAAGGAATAGCTTTATTCCTCTTAGCTGCAATATCTCAGTTGTTCAATTCTGGGCACAGTTGTTCAATTCTGTATCCCAGTGACATGTAGGTCCATTTCAGCTTATCTCTATTTCTGGATTTTATTTCTATTTCCAATTTTCTAAGTTTCATCTACATTGGTTTTTTTAAATGCAGGTACATTTGCTATGCCTCTACTAGCAAACTTCATAGTCTTTATTTTCCACCAGTGAGAGCTGTTCTGAGCAGTGAGTTGGTTTAAAAAAAAAAAAAAAAGCTGATCTTTCTCTTAGCTACAACTTCCACAGTTACTACCGTAGGTAGAGTAGCATCAGTAGAAAGTACTCAACACACATAATTGGGTCCAGACTTTCACAACAGCTCAGCACCCAATATCCTGATCTCTTCAGAAAATTTAGTCATAAGTTATTCCAAAGCCCAGGCCTTTTTTCCTGTGCAATAAATTAAAGGTTAAATTTGCATACATGTGTACTGCACTATTATTTAATCACTTTTTACATTTAAAGCTTTTCTTTGCAATACATATTTTAGTTTTACTTTGTTTTAATAACTGTGATTTAAGCAGAAGGAAATACATGGAGGAAATCAGAAAAGTGTCATGTGACAAACATTAAGCACAAAGATAGAAAGTTGCATTTTTGAAATATTTTAAGAAAAACACAGAGCTTTCCCTTCACTCTGATCATTAAGGGTATGTCTAGAGTTAGAGTACATCCCTCTTTTCAAAGAGAGATGTAAATTAGGCAGATCGAAAATGTAAATGAAGCGGAAATTTAAATATCCCGTGCTTCATTTGCATAATGTCATCCGAGTGCTTTTTCAAAAAAGGGTTTTCGAAAGTGAAAGTGCCATCTAAACGCAATTCTTCGAAAAAAACCCACTTTTTTGAAAGAGCCCTTAAACCTCATTTTTTTAAGGAGTAAGGGTTATTTCCAAAGAAGGGTTTTTCCAAAATAATCCCATCTAGATGACGTTTTTTTTAATAGGGTATTTTGAAAAAGCACACAGATGCCATTATGCAAATGAAGTGCAGGAAATTCAAATCCACACTTCATTTGCAATTTTGCTCAGCTGCATTTGCATTCCTCTCTCAAAAGAGGAATGCAGTGTAGACATACCCTTAGAACTTGAACTTACTTGGAATTCGTCAGTCTGATAAATGATTCTCCACTCAAGCCCATCTGAAAGATACAGAATAACACGGCTACCCTTTGAGACTCCAATAGAGAATATTGAACTATCACAGGAATATCTGAATTTGAAACAAATTACAGTAAACTTCCGATAATCCGGCACCTTTAGGACCCAGGGGGTGCCGGATTATCAGATATGCCGGACTGTCAGAAGGGGGAGCCTATGAGGGGTCTAGAGTGGGGTGGGAGGGGATGCCACCCCAGACCCCTCATAGCCCCTCCTTACAATAGTCCGGCTCTGCCCCAGGCGTCCCTGATTCAGCCGCTGCTGGTCAGTTTCAGCAGCAGCTGAATCAGGGAT